CCCCCCCCCCCCCGCCAAAATCAATGTTATTGTGAATTCTGCTTTTAAGAAGCTGTTTGAACTGTGAACATTGTACACGATACTAAGTCTGAGGAACCAGAAGTTAATTTTTAAAAGGAAAATCCTGAATGGAGCTATTTTAAAAACCTGAGTGTAGTCTATTTTTGTGTTATTTATTATGTAAAACTGTGTAAAAATGTCTGTCATGATAGATTTCTTTTAATGTTCAGATATTGCGGGTGGATAGTCTGTATTTAATATGCAAATTTTCTTGCTAGTATCATAGTATTCCATTTTTGAATGTATGCAAGAAACGAAAACTACTGTACTTGTGTGTTTTGAAGGCAAAGCTCCTTGAATCATGAAGGAAGATGTTGCACTTTGCGGGTCCTCACAGACTAGTAATACTATATGGCTTTAAGGGAAACCTATTCTCTTTGAATTGTGAGAGCGCATCACTTAGCTGGCAGTAATTCTGTTACAGCATCAGGTGTGTTGCTTATTTTAAATTGTAATAACCACCATAATGGCCATTAATTGCGTTACTTCTCATATTGCTTTCACCTGTGCAAAGGCCCTAATCCTTCAAACCTAACATAAAGGTGTATATTATGAAGATTGTTCTCTAGTATGCCATTTTAATATGTTTTTGTTAATTTTTTAGAGAGAGGGAGAGAGAGATAGAAACGTCAATGAGAGAGAACATTGATTGACTGCCTCCTGCACGCCCCCTACTGGGGATCGAGCCTGCAACCCAGGCATGTGCCCTGACCAGGAATCGAACCAGCGACCTCTTGGTGCATGGGTCGACGCTCAACCACTGAGCCACACTGGCTGGACCCTAGTATGCCATTTTAAAGAAACATTACTTCTGTGGTATTCAGTGTATTTATTCTGCTTCTGAAAGAACCATGTTAAGATGTTTCTGCCTATATCATACTGAGAGATGGTTTTATCTTACAGGAAGGATACTTACCCACATTCACTCTACTGTCTTTTTGCCTTAAAGGGACACTTTTAGGGCCATTTTTTGGCTCTAATTTAGAACTCTTAAGAAATAACCTTTGGAATGTGATGATATTTATTTTTCAAATTTAGTGGTGGGGTAGAATTAGGTCAGGAAAATAAAATTGTTCCAATGGTATGAGAACTAGGAAGCAAGATGGTTCACTTTATTGTTTAAATGGACTAGAAAGCTAAGTTTGTGCAGGGATTGTTTTGAGATAAATAAAAGATGGAGATGCTAATCTTCAGATTAGCTTGATTGACAGTACCCCTTTATTTTTATATAAAGTTTACTATTTGAAAAGTGATCATTGTTATAAATTAAAATTATCTCTTCCTATTCTATATTATATCATATTTCAGGCTTCTATTTGAAAATAAGTACAAGAGATGATATGGTAAGAAAATCCTATAGATGATGCTCTTTTTGCTTGACTGGCTTATATAATCACTGTATTTCATAACTGCTTTTGTAATAACAGGAAATTTTGTGAAATGCTGACCTTGTGTATATCTTAGAATGCAAATTTAATAAAGTGTGTACACATGCATAAAATTCTGTGAAATTTTTAAAGTGTATTTCTTTTATTCTTATTAATAATGATTTTCTGCCTCCATAGCCCAGTATTGCATTCTCTGTGTCTAATTGCAGTCCAGTTTTGAATAAAAAGGTAGCAGGAACACAAAGGAACTAATAGCTATATTGAAGTTTGGGCTTTTTCCCAAAACAAAGAGAAACCTCTCCCCATAATCTGTCAAATTTTCAAGAGCATTTTGTAGAATTTGACAATTTAGAAGGTTCTTGCCAAGACTCCATGTTTTTCTTGTTTTCAATTTATTTTATCTTGTTTGTTTTTTACATATTTATAAGACTAAATTGTTTTTAGAACTAGATGGAGGTGTAGACAGGCAAAAAAGAAAAGCCTTTTTGTATGAGTATTTTAAAAATATGTGAACTATTTCACACTTACAGGAAAGTTGTATAAATAGCCTAAAGAACTCCCGTGTATCCTTCATCCAGGTTTCCTAATTGCTGACATTTAACTACATTTGCTTTATCATTTCCTCTCACTCTCTTTCTCTCTCTCTTTCTCCCCATCTCTCTCATATGTATATATTTTTGTATGTGTATATATATATGTGTGTGTGTGTGTGTGTGTGTGTGTGTGTATGTACACACATTTTTCTGACCATCTAAGTTACAGACATGATATACCCAGTTATTGTTAAATGTGTCAGTGACAATTTTCTAAAGATATTTACATAACCACATTACAACTATCAAAATTAGGACATCAACTTTGATACCATTTAATCTACAGACCCCTTTTAAATTTTGCCTATGGTCCCAATAATGCTCTTTTAATAAAAGGAAAAAAAGTATTTTATCTGACGCAGGATTCAAGCCAGTATTATGTGTTACATTTAATCATGTGTCTGTGGTTTCCCTCAATTTGGAAGTCCCCCAGTCTTTCCTTGTTTTTTGTGACCTTCATATTTCTGAAAAGTGCTGGCCAGATATTGTGAAAAATGTCCCTTAATTTAGGTTTGACTGTTGTTTCCTTGTTATTAAATTCAGGGTTTTTTTTATTTTGGGCAGATAGACCACATAAGCGATGTCACTGTCCTATTACCGGTGATGGTAACCTTGATCCTTTGGTTAAGTTGGTGTCTACCATGTTATTCCACTGAACACTAGTGCTTTCCCTTTGAAATTAATAAAATATTTGTGCAGAGATACTTTGAGAGTATGTAAATATCTTGTTTCCTCATCAAACTTCCACTTGCTATTATTAGTATCCACTGATCTTTCTTCCCTGATGGTATTATGATGGCTACCTAATGGCGACTCTAATTCTATCATTTCTATTACATTTATTAATTGGCATTCTACTGTAAAGAGAAAAATTCCCTTCTCTAACATTTATTTACATCATTGTGGACTCATGGACTCCTATTTTAGTCAGTGGGCTTTAACCCATTACCATGATTATTTTGGTATTCACCTCTCAGACTTGGACAGTGAGTTGCCCCTCCAAGCCAGCTCCTGTGTCCTGTTGACAAATCCCTATAGTTTTTTGAGCCGTGCTTTACTTTCTGTCATAAAGGTGTCCCAGATTCATACTTTCGTTGCCCCAGCCCCAGGATCAGCCTTTTCTCTGAAGAGCCCTGATTCCTTTTAATGAAGAACGGTATTTCAAAGTCAAGGTATAAGCTAGCTGCTGGTATAATCATTGCCACTGGGGCATCATGGTTTATAGGCCTCAGCACAGATGTATAGATCCACACATATTTATATCTGTTTGTCTATTAAAAAATCATGAGTTCAAACTCCATACCTCCTATTCAGCATAGGGTTCATTCTATTGTCTACCCTATCCATATTTATAATTGCATTCTCAGATAGTGACAAACCTGGTTCTCTTTATCCTCAAAACAATTGCTCATTTCTCCTGTTTCCGGCCATGCCACCCTGGCTGCCTTGTCAGCGCAGCCATCTTTTTGGCCTTGACCCTCATGCCCCTCCAGAACTGCCAGCCCTGCTGCCTCTGAAGGGGAAGGGGAGAGGATCTAAATATTCAAGTGTTAAACATCCCTGACTTTGTGTTCAACTGTTCACCATTCAGGGATTTTTTTTTTTTTTCCTTTTGGATGATTTTTTTTATTACAGTTGACATTTAATATTATTTCATATTAGTCTCAGGTGTACAGCATAGTGCTTAGGTAATCATAAACTTCACAAGGCGCTCCCCCAGTATTTCCAGTATCCACCTGGCATCATACATAGTTATTACAATATTATTGACCGTATTCCCTATGCTGAACTTTACAAGGGATTTCTTATACTATTTATCAATTTAGCAAATATTTATTGAGCCCTGTGCTGGGAACTCTAAGTGCAGATTAAGTTCATGCCTTCAAGACCAGCCTAGTGGAATAAACAGAAGTACACAGACCACCAGATGCACCGATTCAAATGCACTGGGTGAGCACAAAGGGAGAGCACCCAACATAGGCTGTGCTGTGCTTCTGGAATGCTTCCCAGAAGAGAGCACTGAAGCTGAGTCTTGAAGAGCAAACTTGGGTGGATGTGGGAGTCAGGTAGAGGGAAATAGGATACAGGCAAGAGGAGACCAAGTCACTATCACAGAAATAAAGTAATTTGACAATTATGAGAAATGAGGCTGGATTAACCAACCTTACCTCGATAAATTTTAAACATGAGGCTGGAGAAAGACAGGCTGCGTGTGGTCTTTTAGGATTTGAGAGTTTTAGCTTACTTATGTAGGTAGAAATCTTTATGGCTATGTGTGTAGGCATAAGCAGGGAGATTGGAGAAGTGGGTTAAGGACAAAATCCTGATGAGCATCAACATTGAAAAGGAGATTGAGAGATGGGGTGGCAAGAAAGGAGAAAACCCGAGAAAGCAGCTCTCTATGTCAGCGAAGCTAAGGACAGAGTCATCGCCAGGGTCACTTAAGATGAGGACTGAAAACTCCCTATTAGATCTGATAATTAGGAGGTCCCCTAGAGCCTTTCATATGCGTACTTTTGGTGAAGTGAAAGGGGTAAAAGTCAGATTGCAGAGACTTCTAGCTTGGGTCACTGAGACCTGCCTACTTTGGACAAAAGAATCTATGCCCAAATTTTCTAGCTTCCTCCTTTCCTTCTTTTCCAACCCTTGTTTATTGCATACAAAATTGTTCCCATTTTCTCTTCTGTATCCTCAGCAGTGAGCGCTGTATCTGAAACATAGTAGTCGCTCAATAAAGTTTTGTTGAATAACTCCACACTCTAACCAATAGAGGGAGCTGAAAGAATATCACCAGAGACTGTTAACTTATAGGAGCTGGAAGAAAGCCACACACATTCTGCCCTCTAGGAGGAGCACCAAGCTTCTTTTCT